CATTTTGGTTTATCTCAGGATATTGAATATAGGTTTCCCACTTTGCGTGATTTTTATCATCAGTTCCCAGGTGTGAGTTTATCTTTGTATTTGTTGACTGCTGTATTTTAAAAGCTGCTCACTCTTTTGGATTCTCATTGTAGACTCTAAGACTTTTGTTCATCTACTCTTTTTTTTCCCCCCTACCTTGCAGGTAAAATTAGTATTTTCAAAAGAACCTTCAAAGCCTTTGGCTCCACGAATTCTACCAAACCCTCTGGCAGCTGCAGCGGCTGCTGCGGCTGTGGCAGTGAATTCCCCCTTCAGCCTCCGAACTGCTCCAGCAGCCACACTGTTCCAGACTTCTGCAGTCCCTCCAGCCCTCCTGCGGCCAGCTCCTGGACCCATTCGGACCGCCCACACTCCTGTGCTGTTTGCTCCTTACTGAATTCCAAATGGGAGTAACTGTACTGCAATAATTTTTCAAAAAACACAAAACAAAAAGAGAACTATGCAGTGTTTATTTATAGTTTAAAGTATACCTGAAGAGCCAGGACTTTTGATAGTGAATTGAAAAGATTATTAAAAAAAAAAAAAAAAAGGAGGGAGGTTTAGGGGTGGGAGGGAGGGGTGGTATTTTCTCCAAATTAAAGCATTCCTCTTGAACATTGAGTGTTTTAGAAGTGATCTCCAGCATTGACTTGTAGTGGTATCTAGAACTTCTGAAGCCTTTGTGACTGTGCTTTTGGGCACTTGTTTCCCCCTGCATTGTCTTTCCTGCTTTATGAGACAGCTATACATTGTCTAAGGGCATTAACTGGTTCCAATGTATATATAACAATTTACTCTGTAGATTAAAATAATACAAAAAAAAAAAGAAAAAGAAAAAAACACAAAAAACAAAAGCAACACTGTGAATAGTAGTACCCGTGCTGTTCCTCTTGCTATGACAGCAATTCCTGGGTATTTATCCCAACAAAAGTAGATACAGTAGATGTCTTGTAAAAACAATAGTGCTGTGTCTCAATCTATGCCACTAGGTTTTCAAGAATTGCAAAAGGTAGAATGAACAACTATTTCATGCCTGTAAGCAGTCAAAAACTAAACACCACCGGATGGTGTGGGGAAGGTCCCTGGTTCGCATTCTCCCATCTTACCCAGCTTGGAGATGACTTTAAGTTCAGAATAAAAGAACAGGGCTAAGCATAGAGGTGGGAGAGATTAATAAAAATGGTTTCTTAGAAAGTACTTTTCCCTCCCCCTGGAACAGTGTTGCTGGAAATAGGAAGTGTTTGTAAAGCACCTATATCTGAAAACAGGTAAACCCATGCATCATAGGTGTGGGTTATACTGAAAGAAATCAGTTATACTGAAAGAAATCAGTATAACACAGTTATACTGAAAGAAATCAGTATAACAATTCTGTTTCAAGGATAATGGATGATCCTAACCTAGCATGATAATGCAAAGTAAAGATTTTTCTTAGTGCATATCCAATAAAAACAAAGAATATTGCATCTTTGCAATATCCCCTTTATATCAAACCAGTAGGGTTGTCTCTTCAGCAAAGGTTTCTGCTTTGACTATGATGGTAGACATTAGCTATTGTTGTGGGGGGTTTTGTTGTTTTTTTAGATTTCCTACTGACATGATATAAACAATTAATATATATTTAAATATTAGTAAAACAAAAAAATGAATCTGCATTAATTTCAGACCAAGGATGTAGAGTTAAAAAAATACTGGTAAGATGCATTTGACCATCATTTCTCTAGCGGAGTTGTGAAACACTGACAGCCTTCAATATTCACCATAAGGCTGAAAGGAGTTGATGTTTTACCTTTAAAACAAGATTTTTCAGGGGTATATATAAATATATGTATATTGTATATATGTTAGAAAGATTAAGAGAATAACTTATAAAAAGAAAATCTATATAAAATAATTATATAACCATCCCGTGTTACATGTTATCATTAAGTTGGTAACAAATGGCATAAAAATAGCTGTGCCTTTAATTTGTGATAAAGGCTATTTGCTTTTTCCCATAGAAAGCTAACATATACCTATCATTATGATGGGGTTCAATGCAGCCAGTCTGTTGCATTAAGAATAATGACACTCAAACTCAGAACAATGAAAACATGTACAAATCCACCCTACCAGATTTAGGTTTAGAGAAAAAAAAATATTTTTGAAAGGTTTTGTAAAGACTATTTAAAAATATAGGGAAAGGCTGCGTATGGCCTTCCTGAAACTGCTCTTATCTAAACTGTAGTAGACTTTTGAGAGGTCTAAAGACTCAAGGTGAAACGATTTGAGAGATGGGTATTTAGTATTTGTCATTTTATATTTAAGAAACACCCATAACGTGCTTGGTGCTCAACGTTAAACATGGTCTTTGGAGTTCTTCTCCACCATCTAGCTAAAGACATTTGTCATATAAATATATCTTTAAAGCAGTTGACTTTATAGAACTTTTGTTAAACAACCAACCAAAAGAAAAAAGGAAGGAAGGAAGAGAGGAAGAAAGGAAGGAAAAGAAAAGAAAAAGTATTCCATCAGTCTTTGGTAAGAGGAATTTCAAACCATACATCTTCTGCCTGAACATGTTTGTTACAATTGAAATTTGTTTTTGAAAGTATCTGGTGATATTGCATCTGCCAGTATCTCTACTTTCTGGTGTTAGTAAGTGTTTCCTTTTTCCACCCTCAGACCCTGCTAGTTCAGCCAGGAGAGAGTTAGCTCATGAATTCTGTTGTTTGGGGCTGTCTATATCCTGTGTGACCAGCTTCTGACCGTTTTGAACTTCAGTTTCCTCTTTCTGCTTTGTCGAATATTTTCATCGTTCACTATGTCAGCCTGAATCCCTATCCACCTACATTTACACCTCTAAAAACCTCTCTTTCTGTTGGAGAACTTAGTGTCAATTGATGAAATCTTACTACAATGTACTTTTGCTGTTCTTCCCCATTTTCACCAAAGTGAAAGAGCCAGTCCACTAGAAGTCAGGGCTGGTGGGATACAAGAGTCCTGGATCACAAGGCGTTACTAACTTTAATGAGTTGCTGGGAAACAAACAAATCAGCCATATTTTCTCCATCAGCCATAGGAGAAACCTCAGAAATACCTAAACCCCTTCTGCCTCACTTCACTATGGAACCATTTTTGTTTAAATGGTCTCTAAAATTGGAGTTGTAATCATCAGTTGTCTTTTACTCACTACCTAATAAAGGATGAAGCCTAACCATGGAACTTATGGTGGATTCTCTGTGAATTGGTTCCCAACATTCCATGTATTTATTAACACCAGATCCATATCTACCATTGTTCAGACTGCTATAAAGCTCTATCCTTTCCCTTAGGGAACTTCTTTTCATGAATAAAGATCAGTAATTCCGATTGATCAGCAGTGGTCCTCTGAACATCCCTGAGGGGGGTCTTACTTTATGGTTACACGTTCCTTCCCATGCATCATACCCATGGCAGGGATGGGATAGATAAAACATCTCCAATTTCATTTGCAACAAATATAAATGCATTGCAAGAGTCAAATGCCTCTGGAAAAAGCATTCTTGCACCTCATCCAGATTACCCAGACAACTGGAAACAGTCTTTGGGAAGGCACCGTATTTCTCTTCCGAGAAAGCAGGTGATTACAAGTGACAAATCGCTCCTCTCACTGCTCCTGAACTTTGAAGAGTGGTTGTTGTGTACACCTAAGCACAGTTGTGTACACAGTTGGCTTTGGGCAATTTATATCATCACTGACTCATCTCAAATGATGCAATCTTCAGGTACCGTTGGGTTTCCGTTCCTCTCTTGCAATAATTCATTGCCGTTATCATCAGAGATATAATTTGGTTTTTAGAAAGGTGCTACATATTTTGTTGCCAAGGAACTATTTAGCCAAGAGAGCATTTATACTCATTTGGAAATTAAAAGAGCAGGAAATCACAACACAAAGGAGTAAAAATGAAAAGGTTTTAAAAAAGGATTATTCAGAGTTTATTGTGGATGTGCTCATGTATGTTTTTAAGGTACAGAACCAGCCCACAGTAGAGGTGGGCATTAAATTTCACTTACAATTAATAGCTTAAATTAATATCTTTGTCTCCACACCCATGGAGTGTTTCAACTTTCCTGAAGAAATCAGATCGGAAAGCTAAAAAATGACTCTGGTATAGAGACCTCTTCCTTCAAATCTGAATTGATCTATAGAACTAAACTACCTTTCTGTACATTTGCATGGATGACATTGTATTAACGTCTCTTTGTACACAGGAAAGCATCTTAAAATGGTGAGGAAAACAATGAGCCTGAAAGAAATCAGAGCCTATTGTAGACTTTGTCCCTGCCTAGCAGGGTAACATTTAAATAGTCAACGAATGCTTTGTCCTTACTCTCTTCATCAGCAGTGTGGGTGAGAGTGAGTAAAGGCTAAACTGGTTACCTATTTTTGCATTAAAAAAAACACTTTTCTCTCCCTCGAAGAAGTGCTTTCTTGTAGTGAACCATACAGCTACTCAAATATTTGCATTTTCTCAGAAAAGTGTTCTGTATTCTTTTCCTTCCTAAGGATACATCACAAGGTAGTAGGTCATTCATCTGATCAGTCAGATGTAGACCTCACCAACAGTTATCAGAGGAGTTGCTAATTCACATTGGATTTATAACAAAGTCGTTTAGGATATACCACATCTGTTTTCTCAGTCCAAAATGTAATACACTAAGTCCCCTACATATGGACCTGTTGCATTCCGAGAGCACGTTCGTAAGTCCAATTTGTTCATAAGTCCAACAGTTAGCCTAGGTACCCAACAAACACAGTTGGCTATAAAGTACTGTACTGCAATGGGCTTATAATACTTTTCACACAAATAATATGGTGCTTCCGGACAGCCTGGGCTTGAAACAAAGATACTGTACTACTGTACTCTATACAGTACTGTACAGTAAAGTACACAAAGGCACAACCACTTGTAGAGGAGGTGCACCCATGACAGTGTACGCCAGACATGTGAACTAACATGTGATTGAACATACAAACACACGTTCGCATCTTTGAAAGTTCATAACTTGAAGATTCATATGTAGGGGGCTTACTGTAAATTCTAAATAAAACCAACCCATATAAAAGCAAGAGAATATTGACCGTGTGGGTGTGAAGGGGGCAACAGGTATTTGAATGTCTCATCCTCGTTCTTTTTGTTGTGTAATCTCCCTTCAATAGAAAGGGACCCCCACCTGAGCCATTACTAATCCAGTCCTGGGTTTGCATGTGTTTTAGCTAATGACCACCTTATTCAGATCACTTCCTCCACAGCCAAAGGATATTGGTTATGCCCTCTCGTTATTGATATAGCAAGAATTTTTTTGGACTTAGTCCTGACAGTGAATATTTTACAAACTGATTGCTGTTTTACAAACTGATTGCTGTTGGTTTTCATTAAGAGAGCAGATTTATTTCTGGAGCATCTTTTCTGGTCTTTCTATGGTATCTTCAATAACGACAACAGTTACTATCAAGAAGTGAAATGGATCATGTGTATGGCAAGTATGGCAAGTCTCCATTGCCTACTTCCTTGTGCTGAGATGGGTATCAGAGCTTCCAGTGAAAGATGGATATGTTGATATATCATCTTCATGTGGCCTACATGGTTGTTACTTCCAGAAATGGACTTATAGCTTACCAGAATTACGAATGGTGACGAAAGACAGGTTCTACACTGGGAAAACCTCCTACCTATGTGCTACTTGATTAGAAGTCCATACGGGTTCCAAAGAGTCACAGAGTTTAAAGAATTCTCTGGTTGTGTCATCAATGCTCAGATGTGAAAGGACCAAGAATTGCCTTGAATCTGGTCATCTTCTGTCACCTCTTCTCAGTGATGGAAAGCCATCCTTCCTAGATGGTTGACTCTAGAAATTGCCAAAATTTGAAGTCAAATCTGATGACTAATATAGATGACCCAGTTGAGAATGGGATCAATAGAGAATGAGGTCATGTTCTCTTCATGACTGACAAGTCAGCTCTAAAAGCAATTCCCAAAGAGTAGAGCTAACATGATTTGTGAGCAAAATTATAACTAAACATAAATACTTGTACAGTGGCCAGTTCGTAAGTCACTACATCTATATCTATGTGGATATGGATAGAGATAGAGATACATGTATTTTTGTAAAATATGAGCATTAATACGTCTTTTACCTGTTACCATTTTTCAAAAAAAATTTTTTTTTTTTTAGTGAGTAGGTTGATTTTACTTTTAAGAACAGGAACTCTAATTTCACACTTGGGAATCCTAATCATTTTAGGGCATTGCAGAGGCTGAGAAGCAGATATAATATCAAGGTA